GCTGCGAGTGATGGATCGGAAGTGGTGTACCGTCTAACGTGTACAACGGCTGAGATTGGCTACAGAACTTCCGGGAAAATCTCAACACCGCACACTTAGCCTTGTTCATGCGCAAGCCCCAGGACAGAGAGGTCTTATACAGCACGTCAATATCTTGTTGCAGTGTCGGATCTGTCTGGGGATACAACGACACAGAGTTGCGCGCAACAGAAGCATACAATTTAAGGTCATCGGCAAACATCTTAAAAGTACAGGAAAGCTTTGAGCACACAAAATTAATATATATCAAAAACAACAGCGGACCTAACACGGAACCCTGTGGAACACCACTGCACACGTCTCTGCTGCTGCTTAAGTTACCACCAACACACACCTGCATGACTCTATCTGTTAAGAATGAAGAAATCCAAGAGAGTAGGCATCCATCAATACCCAACAGCTGAAGTTTCCTAAGCAGTATTCTATGACACACCACATCGAACGCCTTGGAGTAATCAAACAGAACAAGATCAACGGTCTGACCTGCGTCAACTTTCAATGATACGTCGTCATAGACAAGTAGGAGCTGTTCCATCACCGATCTCTCGGGACGGAACCCAAACTGGTGCTCCGATATAATTCTATTTGAATCCAGGTACTCGTATACATGTTTGGCAATGACACGTTCTAGCACCTTACAACAGACAGGGGTAAGACTTACGGGTCTATAATTAAGGGGTTCATATCGCTTTCCCTTCTTAAACAGCGGTATTACATTAGACCTCTTCCAGGCGCTTGGAACGGTACCTTCCACAATCGATCGGTTAAAGATAACATGTAAAGGGTAAGTTAGGACATCACTACAATTTTTTAACACTAGCGGATGAATAAAATCAGGACCCATTGCAGAGTTTGTGTCAAGGGAGCGAAGATGTGACAGCACATCCTGCGCCGTAACTCGGATAGCGTCAATAGAACCGTCAAAGGTCTGATGAGGCTCTTGGGCAGTGGGGACCTCTTTCATAAACACAGAGGCAAAAGGGTATTATTTTTCTTCTGAATGTTGTGTGTTTTACCAGACATATACTTATTTTCACTGTGTTGTTGATAAATCACTTCCAGTCTAGAATGATGTGTTCTTTTCTTTTCAATTTCAGCCCCACCAGAATACCTATTCCATTCTGATTCTGCCGAGTGTCACATCACATGTCTGATGATGCTGTAGACCTCAGAGCCCTGTTTCACTGTTGATAGCAGCTGAGCACGCTGCTATTACACGTGTCAAATTGGGTTTCCATGGAAACATCAACAAGCCATGACACCGTCAGTCTGTGTGATGTCATCAAATATTGCTGCTAGCATCTTCACGCCCGTGCGATCAAACAAATGCATCAAACCAGGCGCAATTCAACGAGACAGCAACTCTGTTCCAAACTCAGCTCACCGATTACACGAAACATCATTAGTGTGACCTGATCACATTACGTCAGCTCGCGCAATTTGATAGTAGCGTGCTGCTATCACCGGTGAAACAGGCCCTGATGGCAAAGTATTTTGTGAATCACCCCAGTAGAATATTTTGCTGGCCAGCAAAATGCAGCTACTGCCTTTCATCTGCGTGAATCATTTTTCACTGGAAAGGCACTTGAAAATACCATACTAATGTGTTTCTCAAATATTATGTAGGGTAGTAACTCACCAATTCATGCTATTGCACCTCCCGATACATCCCTGAGAAAAAACGTGCCACAATTAAATTGTTTGGTGCGCCACATTGAGTAAGTAGCAAAACCATAGGTATCATGAAAATCTGTCATGCCATTCTGTGGCAGAATATTCTACAGTGACAGCAAATGTTGGAAGCTCTGCTCACAGATTCTAACATTTGCTACGACTCAACTGCCATGCGTCATGGAATAATTTTCATAATATCTTGTGCTGAAACAGGCCTCTTATTTTGGAGTCCTGTAGTTCAGGGCAACTTCAGGCATAGGGTAGAAGGCAGGCATAACCCAATGTTATGTGGAAGAATAAAGTGTTTTTTACCATAATTTGTTTATTGCGGGTCTTTGTGGTATCCAATACATGACTGGCTTTTAAACCACAGTGTCATATACAATATGCAACCGAGGTATAAGATAGGTAAAAGCATATTATAGTACACAAACATTGAAAAGGTTAAAACACGTAAAAAAAACATTGACACGCTAGCATGAAAAACGGGTGGAGCTGAGAGGTCGGTGCGCAGTATGTAAGTGGGTGGCAGTCGCCATCGCCGACAGGCTACTTCACCGACATTAGAGACACTGTCACACGCTTTTTAAAATGACTGACTTTGTCGTTTCCGCGAACATTGTGATGCAGCCGGCTCCAGTTGCGCACAGCGCGGACAGGCACGCACATCCTGGTCGCGCGGCATCGGAACGTTTCTAGCTGTCCGGCGGTTGCTGCTCGCGTGGTTCGCTGGGATACGTCGGCTCTGTACGAGACCAGGGATTTCAGGCGCCGCGGTCCCTGATCCGGTGTAGAATTGTGTGCATCAGTACAGAGTCACGATAATCGATCATCGCACTGAAGGACATCCACCCTAACTCACGTCTTGCGGTTGAGATGTGTTGATAAGCACAACATTCATTCTGGAGTTACATGAACCTTGCGTTCGACATCCGGAAAATGAGGGATAATTTTCCGGGACTATCGGTACCGTAAAGTGGGGCTATTTGAGACAGTGGGGCTATTTGAAATTGAGACAGTATTTAAAATCGCTATAAAATGAAGAGCGTTTGATTTTTATGTGATATTTTTGCTCAGGAAGGTGTGGAACCGAGCAGTAAATCGCCTGAGCAAAAATTAAGCATAAATTTCCAACGGTTTTTATTTTATAACAATTTTAAATACTGTCTCAAATAGCCCCACTGTCTCAAATAGCCCCACCTTACGGTAATTATTTGGGTTTGCAGGAACAATTGGTGAAATTAGTCACATTTTTATATTGCTTGCTTTACGAATGGCTGCTTTACTCGTCGCCATGTTTGTTGTGCATGATGTCAGCCTAAAACACCGAATGATCCCGGTGATCCCGGCACGGGCGGCAAATTATTCCTGATCGGATGTCGAATGCACGCGAAAATTTAAACAAGTTGTGTGAGTGTTATGTGAGTGCTATTGACCTAACCTAACCTATCCTTACCTAACCTAAACTATGTCCACTGTCCAGATCATTTTCCAGTCCATAATGTCTCAGGCAGCTTAGGTTAACTGCACTTGCACTCTTACAAAGCATCTGAAGGCTATTATCGAATAGAAAAGCACATCTCTAACGATATGGTTCATTACCTAATTTTCAAACGAGTCTTCAGTCAGGGCTATATAGGGTCCAGCATAAGTTTTGTCCTTTACCTGTCTGTAACAACACACCCAGTTCATAATAATTTCAGCCCTAAGGGATAACAGTTGGTAAATGTGAAGATCAGGCATACGCCCACCATGGCCCTGTTTCACAGCACGACACTTTAGTGCGCTACGCCATGCTGCGCTAAACTCTGACGCTGCAACATTGAGAGCGTCTGGGTATGTTGATTTTTCCATGGAAACCCAATGCCGAGACACGCATAGCGCGCTTTAGCGTCGTGCCTTGAAATAGGGCCCATGTCGACCATGACAGAAATCGCATTGAAAAAGGCGGCCGAGAAGAGGGGCCAGTTGGTGACAGAATTCGCCAAGGGGCTTACATAGACAGGACCGTGAGACTATTGGAAGAGCTCTGAGAGGCTCATTGACTACCTATAAAAGCCTCCAGCGACTCAGTTCTGAGTCGACGCATGGTCGATGACAGGTCGACATGCATGTTCATTCATGACGGCTTATCGCTCTGCCAAGGCCCAGCGGTGTTGCGAATCGAACCTGCCGGACTTCTGAAGGAAGGAGGTTTTAGCTAGCTACCATCCGGACATAATGCTGATCGAGGAACTTAAGGTTATGGCTATCGTCCAGCAGGCCCTGGACCAGCAGAAGCTGGCGGCCAGCCTCGGCGCCCTGCAGTTACAGCCTAAACAGGCATGGCCAGAAATCAAGCCATCTGTGCTGCACAAGCTGCTAGTGAGAAATAAACTGAACATTAACAATAATCGGTGCCTTTTATATGGCAAGTTACAATGAACATGATTGATAGGATAATATTTTGTTGCACCCTGTAGGTAGGTACCTATTTCCTTTCCAAGCCTTTTTCAATGGCTGAGGTTCCGAAAGCATGGTTCTGAGTCTGGGGAAGCTGATTATTGTATGACGAAGAAGCATGCCTACCACTCGTTTCTCTCTGAAAAGCAAATGAGAGATAATTGATCGCTTAACCCTCGCCGGCACAGGCCATTTTGCGTCCTTCGACGGCACAGGGGGGGGGGGGGGTACGACCCCCCAGGCGTTTGGCCCCTGATCGAGCTAGAGCTTCGCGGAAAAACGAGCGTGTTGCCCGTCAGGAGAGGAAGCCGATGATATCCAATTTTAAGGTCTTTGGTCATCGGGTGACCTTCCAGGTCAGGTCAGTGACCCGAAAATCGGGAAAATCGGGACCTGTTAAAAAGTCGTAAAGTGTGGCTGCTATGGGGTTTTCCGGGGTGCTGATCACGAATATCGTGTTAGTTTTAATCAGAGATGATGTCTTTAAGCATTTAGACCAGGTCGGGTCAGGTCAGGTCAGGTCAACCGGTAGGGGTCGTGACGGGTATTCGTAATTTTTGTCAACCGCCTCTGACAGCTTCGTAACATGTTACGAAGGCACCAAAACTACTTCGTAAATGTTCAAATGGATGCTAAATTCGAAATCAGCTCCAAAAACTAGCAGAGAAACATGTAAAACTCGAAAAAGTGAACCGAGGTCACCAAAGGTCAATGACCTGACCTGACCTTCAGGTGACCTTGACATCCACCCTAATGCATGAGAGCAGCATCAAATCACACGTTTGAACGTTTGAAACCACGAAAAGCTTGCAAACGCGTGGCTAATGCGAGCCGACATACGCCGAATCGCGATTCCGGCCAAACATGGTCTCGGAAAGTAGGTCACAGGTCAAAGGTCATTTGGGGCAGGGTCATTAAATTTTCAGGGTAGGTGTAAAATTAATCAATGCGATGGTATTGAAAGTGTCGTCGCGATCGGCCGCTTTTTACGCGAGTTATTCGCGAAAAACCTTAGGGGGTTACATCTGCACCCCCATGTGCCGGCGAGGGTTAACACTGTTTACCTATTTGGTAGACAAGCTGCTGCATATTACCCTGGTTTGTTTATCCTTTTCAGTCACCAAACGAGTTATTAAAATGGGAAATGCAAACAGTCTCAAACATCATTTAGAAAATGCTCAGAAGACCGGAGTGTGCGCTCTTCCAAAGAGGGGACTGAGTGAGGTAATGTTTAATCGTTTTACGTTTCAGTGCGATTAGTTGTGTATTGTGCCCATTACGACAAAATATCACCAGGTCACCAGGTCATACAATCAGCTGATACGACTATGATGTCAGCTAACTCATCGAGCTGTTTGATGTTCTTTTGAATTTTGGAGCGACGTTGATGACCTGTCGTATTCTAAATGTGCTGTGTTTAAGATGTACTGTCATTCTCTTTTGGTGTGCCACCAGGTCCCCGCAGATCTTCTGAAGGTGGCCGCCAGTCTGCGCACCTTGGATCTCTCGGAAAACAAACTCTCTTCTCTACCGAGTAGCATGCAGGCATTTCCACAACTGAAACATCTGAACTGTTCTCAAAACAAATTGAGTGAGTATCATCCATCGTGGTGTTACGTCCATTACCAGGGTACGTCAGTTGCAAAGGCTAGCTTTTGGTCATGCTTATGACTGATATTTAACGCACATATTAACAAAATGTAAGCAGAACCAATCTGTGTGTGTGGGGTATGGATTTGAGATGCCAAATATTGGGAGTGGGGAGTGGGGACCCCACACGATGGGACGCGGTCCGCCTGATCTGCTGGCAGTTTGTGATCAGCCAACCGCAGGTCCTCTCCGCCAGGGGTCTCTGAGGTCGAACGGTGGAGCTACCCGCGCTCGTGCTCTCGCCACCGCGAGTTGAGCGCTTTACCAACGGAGCTATGGGTCGAGCTTGTTTAGTGTGCTTCATTCATGTCGTTCTTTGCGTGTTTGCAGCACAACTGCCCGACACCTTGGGGGCTTTGACCAAGCTGGAAACATTGCTGATGTCGTACAACAAGATCACCAAGCTGCCGGACATGCTCAGCGCACTGAAAAATCTGAAAACAGTCAACCTCAGGTGCGTACTCTTGATATGTATTTTGAAGGAATGGTGACGGCCAGAACAATTACAAATGTGATCAGTTTTACCCCACAACTAACATAAAAGGACGAAGGTTAATGTCATCAGTATTCTTGTCTTTTGAACCCTGGCCACTGGGCACTGGTCATGCTGCGAACTCAGCTGCGGGGCTCGCACTGGCTCGGGTCGGTGTCTGCGTTGGTATACGGTAACACATGTCATGCTGAACCCAGGTAAAAGCAGTCGCTGAAAGGTGTCTCGTATAATACCACGGACGCATAAACAAGCTCTTTCGTTTTTATACGTCCTCGTATGATATGCTGCGAAGTAATCGAACGAGTCATGTTTCATGAGTCATTCTTGTTAGGAAGCAAGCACCTGCATTTGCAAGTATTTGCAAGAAGCAAGTACTTGTATCTCAGCACCCACAGATGTTGGTGAACGCACCACGTGTTTCACTGTGTCTGTCACCACAGCTGTAGCGTTCAGTAGGTACTCAGTCTGACGTTACCGACAACCTGTGACGGTTTCAGTCACAACCAGCTGTCGGAGGTGCCGGGCTGTCTGCTGTCGCTGCCGCAGTTGGACGTGCTCGACCTTTCCAGCAACCTCGTAACGAGCGTGCCGGCCTCGGCGGCGGCACTGCGCTGCTCCGAGCTCAACCTCAACGATAATCAGGTGCGCCTAAGCCGGCCAGGGCACCGGCCGGCCCGACAGGACACATGCCCTGCATCACTATTTTCCCCCGGTGTATAGTATATACCACATAGGTATGCACTATGCGGTGCTCACGACGGAGATACACACCGGGTCGTGTTCATTTTTCATTTATTTGAAAGCAACGCACTTAGCATTTATGAAATTAAATTCACTGTGAACATTCCAACCTTTTTAGGTGGAGCCTTATTCTAGAGGTTTATATCTGTCACTCATGTTCATTTTTCGGTCATTTTGCTGCGTTGTGCTCGTTTAGCAATCAACACATTGGAATGGAATGAAACCTGTGCGGCGGTACCGATGGCATCTGCGGTGGTACCTCACAGAAATGCAGTGGTTTTTACATACATTTTGCATGAATGTCTAGTTTGTCTTCGATTGCTTGACTTTCAACGGATGTCGCCGTAATACATTGCGCCCTTTTTGCTATTCTGTCAACATCACAATATTCGTTTTCAACTACATGTAGACATTTAGCATTGATCGAGCCTGTTACTTGGTATGCATTCCTACCATATCGTCCATATCTGTATGTGCCACAGCTTTGTTTTTGTATTGAATCCATACCAAAAGGATTATTATACTAGCAAAGCCCGGATATTCAACGAAGTCATATCTTTGGTTTCAGATAAACCGCGTCTCCGCGGAGCTAGCCGACTGCGAGCGGCTGAAGATCCTGCGTCTGGAGAGCAACTGTCTGTCGCTGGACGAGTTTCCGGCGCGGCTGCTGGCCGACTCGCACGTCTCCCTGCTGGCGCTCGACGGTAACGTTTTCGAGGTGAAGCAGCTCGCCGAGCTGGACGGCTACGATAAGGTGAGCGCGGGCTGAGAGCGGCGGATGGTGACGACCTTTGGTGGGCTTGTGAGGTTGGCGTGTGCCCTCTGGGGCCGGGAGAGTTCGTAGTTTCGTCGGCTGGTGGTCGGGAGGGAGCGGGGCTGACGTCTGTGGGGGGGGGGGGGAGGGGGCGGAACTAGTGTCCGCTGATCATTGCTGGTACGCATCTTACGATGGCTGAAGCAGTGTCACCTTACGGGCAGTTAGCCCACCCAAATCCCCTCCCGGGATGTAT